GCTCTTCCTAATCTCACGACAGTGGGTGGGTAGGAGCAGAAAGGATATTGGGGAAGAGAGAAATCGTAATGCTCTAGGAAGGTGAAGAGGAAAAGCCTAAGCCTAACAGTGAATAAGGAACTAGGGGTCGTCCATATGTGATGGCCAGAGGCCCTGTCCCCTCTCCCCCAGCTACCCCTGCACCCTGCGCCAGTACCTCCGCACGAACACGCCCGGCCCCCGGCTCGCCACGGTGATGACCTTGCAGTTACTGGAAGGTGTGGACCACCTGGTCCAACAGGGGATTGCACATAGAGACTTAAAATCCGACAACATTCTCGTGGAGCTGGACGCAGGTAGGTGCCTGCCACGCCCTGGCCACCCAGCATGCCCTAGAGGGTAGGTCTGGGAGCACCTAGCAACCTTCCAGGCCTTCTCGGTTTGTACAGTCTATTATTAGTCACGGCATTCTCATTTAGGCCTGGACACCGAGACAGGCAATCTCTCCTTGAGTGGAGGCTTGCATTCTCTGTGTGAGGAGACGGCAACAGTCCTCTTTGTGGGGTACTAGTTCACAATTCTGGGGTTCCTCTCATTGCCTCACTTACAGAACAAGGGCCTCAATGATGCAAGGTTTTTTTTTAAATTTCTCTTTTTTTGTTGTTGAGGTTTTTGCTACAGGGCACGTGCGCTCACCAGAAAGATAGAGAGAGAGACAGAGAGACAGAAAGCAAGAAATCACCCCCCCGGGGGGGGGGCGGGTGGCCACACCACAATCCCTTCTCCTCCATTCTCCTCTCGGGATCTTGGGCATGCACGCACACGCGCCCAGCGTGAGTTTAAGCCACCAGGTCTGGGACTCGAACTGCGGTCAACTACATGGGAGTCCAGCGACATAGCCATTACGCTAACTGCTGGTCCCAATGCAAGTTTTTTTTAAATGAAGAAAAAGAAAGGTAGATTTCAGCTCGGTATAAAAATGGTTCTCACACAGTGAGCACTGTCCAAGCACAAGCACAGCCCCTCTGGGAATGAACATCATTGGGAGCATTCAAGCAAAAGTTGAGCAGCCACTCGCCTGGGGATACTGTAAGAGATTTATACATCAGGTACATTTTTGAATAGAAGATATAAAATAATGACTAGAGGGATCAGCAGGTAGCGTGGTGGCTAAAGCTCTGGCCATTCCTATGTGGGCGAGCACAGCTCGAGTCCTGGACCTGGTGGCTTGCTTTCTCACTTTCTCTCTTTGTGTCTCTCTCAGGTCAAATTAAAATAAATGAAATGAATAAATACAATGAAATCATTCTTAAGAAAATAAATAATGACTAAAGAAACTGGTTTTTTTTAAAGAAACTCTATGTGAATCATTTTACAAATAAGTAATTCCTAATACCCCTGTTTCTCAGGTTTGGATTTGGTATTTCAAGTTCAAATCCGACTCCTGAGTTGTAAGGGCCCTCAGAGGTCACTTGAGCTAAGCACTAGCTCTTTGGCCCTGGGACAGCTCCAGTGACTAGAATACTTGGACTGAGCCAAACTCATTTACCTCAGCCTTTGCCGGGGACCTTTGGGGCTCTTCCTTCCCTGAGGCACTTCCACCTTCATGCAGCCAGCCCTCCTCCCTGCTTTGCCGAAGAGACTCCAGTCCAGGCCTAGCTGGCCTGCAGTCCTGGGCCCTGCTCACCCACGTCTTGAGTGGCTTAGTGGGACGCAGAGGGTCTCTCACAGAGAAGGGAGGGAGGATGGCCCGCCGCTGACCTCTGCCGGCTCCTTCCCAGACGGCTGCCCCTGGCTGGTGATCGCAGATTTCGGCTGCTGCCTGGCTGACGAGCACATCGGCCTGCAGCTGCCCTTCACCAGCTGGTACGTGGATCGAGGCGGGGAAGGGCGGCCGGCGGGTCCCACAGTGCCTGATGGCTCCAGAGGTGAGTCCAGCCGAGCCCGCCACCCGCTGTCGGCAGACACTTCCACATTCCCAAGTGCTGCAGAGACTTGATGCCTCAGTATTTACTCAACATCTCCGTCTTTTCTGACCCACACTTTGGCATAAGTTCATCCCTGCCACCTTCCTCTGCATCTCCCTAAGGTTGCCGGGAGATGAGTCTTGCCAGCAAACTAGGCTCCCTAAGCAGACCCCCCCCCCGCAGTCTCAGTCACAGCTCACGCGGGTTCTGGCGTCCTTAGGATAGAGCTCAGGTTAGCCTGTGAGTCGGTGATGCCTGCCTAGGCTGGCCAGGGCAGCTGCCTGACGTCTTGCCCATTACCTCGGAGCAGGTTTCTACGGCCCGTCCTGGCCCCAGGACAGTGATCGACTACAGCAAGGCAGATGCCTGGGCAGTGGGAGCAATCGCCTACGAAATCTTCGGGCTCGCCAATCCTTTCTACGGCCAGGGCAGCGCCCACCTTGAGAGCCGCAGTTACCAGGAGGCTCAGCTCCCTGCGCTGCCCGAGTCTGTGCCACCAGATGCCAGACAGCTGGTGAGGTCACTGCTCCAGCGAGAGGCCAGCAAGGTGAGGTGGGGCCCAGGCTTTGCAGGGATTGTGGGTGGAGACCTCAGCGCACATTCCACGTGAAGGCCAGGTTTGGGCAAGCCCTCGGGTGACAGGCAGAGCCCGGCTGACACGGTCAAGGCCTCCTAGAAGAGAACACGCTGACTCGAGGTAGATACGAGAAGGGGAGGCCTTCGACTGGCCACCAATCGTTAGAATTCTAGCAATTCAGCTTTTCATGGTTTTTCAGTTGCTTAAAAAGCTGCTGGGGCTGGGGGAGAAACTAGCAGTTAGCGTAATGGCTATGTCGCTGGACTCCCATGTAGCCGACCGTGGTTCGAGTCCCAAACCTGGTGGCTTAAACTCACGCCAGGCACATGTGCATGCGTGCCCAAGATCCTGAGAAGAGAATGGAGGAGAGGGGATTGTGGTGTGGCCATCCCCCCTGGGGGGTGATTTCTCACTTTCTCTCTGTCTCTTTCTGGCGAGTGCACATGCCCTATAGAAAAAAAAATCTCTCAAAAACAAATATGTTACTCAGGGGAGGATGCACTTTTGAGAACTGTTTAATGGAGATGGAGTTAAAATCAAGACAGACAAGAAAACATCTCATGAGACTAGATTATCCACTATGAAACTCATAGAAAAGACTGTAACGGCAGATCTATTTGAGGCCAAAATTGGAGTGGCAGGTCAGGTTCCGGTGGCATGTGTGGAAAACGCCAAGACAGACCTGTGCGCAAACCACCATCCTACGTGGCAGTAGGGACGTAGCGCAGGTGAGAGTAACCGCAACCAGTGAAGGGTGAGGGATCCTGACCTTGCACTGGTACAGGGGACCGGACAGAGCTGCAGAGGCGTGTGGTCCTCTATGAGGAGGAAGGCCATTCGCCAGCACACTGCCCCAGGGCAAAGTCTGGAACACAGGTGGAGAGCAGCCAGGACCCGCCAGCTGCGGCCAGGGCGCCAGGAGAGGGTGAAGGAAGAACCGGAATGGGGCCAGAGAAGGGGAGACCCTGCAGTGAGGATTCACGAATAAGCAGGGGTGAGCCAAGGGCCTGTTCCCGATGTCCTGAGCTTAGCTTCCCTTCCTCACAGAGACCATCTGCCCGAGTAGCTGCCAACGTGCTTCATTTAAGCCTCTGGGGCGAACACATCCTGGCCCTGAAGAACCTGAAATTAGACAAGATGGTTGGCTGGCTCCTCCAGCAATCTGCTGTCACTCTGCTGGCCGACAGGCTCACGGAGAAGAGCTGTGTGGAAACAAAACTGAAGATGCTGTTTCTGGCCAACCTGGAGTGGGAAGAGCTCTGCCAGGCTGCCCTCCTCCTCTGCTCCTGGAGGGCTGCAGCCCCAGGAGCTCCGCGTGTGGCCGACGGCCACTGAAGAGCTCAGCAGCATGGATGTGGTGAAGGTCTGTGAACGTGGGACAGTCCTAGGTGTGCAAGGGTGGGAGTCAGGGGACGAGGCGGCACAGAGAGGGACTCGCGTGTGGTGGAGGCAGGAACTGGAGTGGGAGTTCGTCTGTAGCTGTTAACTCTGGCAAGTGATTTTGAACAAATCCTATCACCTGTGTGGACTTCAGTTCTCTGACCCATAAAATGAAGAAATTGGTCTAAATTTCTGAGGGCCAGATAATAAAATACCTTGAAGTTGCTGCAACTATTCAACTCTGTCACTGTAGCACACAAATCCATACACATGGCCGAGTTCTAATAAAGCATTATTTACAGACATCAAAATTTGATTTTCACAGGTCACTGGACATTCTTTTAATTTTTTTCAACCATTTAAAGGTATAATAACGATTTTTAGTTTGCAGGCCAAAGTCAGGTGCAGGCCAGATTGGCCCACAGGCCAGTGTGCTTCGATGAATTCAAAGGGCCTGGCTAAAAACTATGCTACTAGGGAACCAGCAGTTGGCTTAATGGCTATGTCGCCGGACTCCCATGTAGTCAACCGCGGTTCGCGTCCTGGACCCGGTGGCTTAAAACTCATGCCGGGCGTGTGTGCGTGCGTGCCCAAGATCCTGAGAGGAGAATGGAGGAGAAGGTATTGCGGCGTGACCATCCCCCCGGGGGGTGATTTCTCGCTTTCTGTCTCTGTCTCTGTCTGGCGAGCGCACATGCCCTGTAGCGAAAAACCTCTCCAAAAAAACCAAAACAAACAAAAAAATAACTATGCTAACTAATCAAGAGGTCCCTTTGTGTTATCAGTACTAAAAACAATGGGCTAATACGCCTCGTCCCTCAAAAGCCCCATCTTAAACCTGTTCTGTCCTCA